ATAGAGATAAGGGGAAGGAAGTTATAAACCCTTTTATAAATTCCTAAGTCCTGATCTGACCAAGTGTTGAAAGTCCCCTGTTCTACTTTGCAACAAGCCATGGATTATTCTAGGTTGGAGTGGGCGATTATTTGGGCTGGAGAGACACTTAAGGAGTTTTGGTGAGCTGTTATGGGCTGGGGGGGAGGGGGGTGGTGACCTGGTCTGGTGCAGCAAGGGGGAGAGGGAGTGCTGATCTGGTGCATGGGGGAAGGGGACAACTGATCCTATCTGCCTCAGATCACGTCCACCTTGCACCCACCCTTGGGGATGCCAAATAGAGTGGGAGAGTGGGGTCTCTATGGAGACTGGCTGGGACCCCTGCGAGAAAGGTTTGTTCAGCTGGGTGAATGGGATGGGGCTGCAGGTGGCGGACAAGGGAGCGGTGGCCAGGACTGGGGTGGGTGGGCAGGGATGGGCCACTGACAGCATAGGGCTGGGGCCCAGGGCAGAGCAGCAATCTGCTGCCAACATCCCCTGTGACAGGCGCTGGTTCCACGGGCAGGGACATGCAGGGAGCAGACTGCAGTTATGCCCTGGGCCCTGACTCCATGCTCTCTCTGCCCTGTGATCCTGGCCCTGCCTGCCCATCCCACTCTCAGATGTTGTTCCCCATCTACCTGTGGTCCCATCCCATCTGCCCAACTGAGCATGTCCTGCCCACAGGGGTCCCAGGCTAGTCTCCATGAAGACCCTGCCTGCTCCATCCAGCACCCACAGCAGTGGGTGCAGGGCAAATGGATTGGGGTGCCTTGGCAGTGGGTCTAGGTCTGGCAGCAGTAGTGACACAGGCAGTGGCAGCTGGAAGGAGCCACTACTGTGGGGGCTGCCGGGAAGCTGAGTCTGGTTGACATGCTGCCCCAGCCTGCCTCTATGCCCAGGGGCAGTGGGACTGGCTGCATGTTCCATGGCCGAGACTGCCTCCCATGCCTGGGCTGGTCAGGGCCTAGGGACCCACCATGGGCTGGAAAGAATCCTTTGGTAGGCCAGATCTGGTCCATGAGCCATATTTTGCTCACCCCTGTTCTAGGTTATCCCAGATGCACCAGTCTCCATACACATGGCTTCTTGCTATCCTTATAAAAGAAACAGATGATATAACAGGCATTATATGTAAAAAAGGCTGTCCCCAGGGCTGGCAGTGATGCCCTCTGGTAGCTGCTCAGCCTTTGTTTTCCTTGATCCTTTAGGGCATGCCCCCTTCTATGTTCCTGCCATGCCTTGCTGTAAATATGTAATTAGAAAAGGGAGGCTGCCCCAGCGATCCCTGAGCGACATCTCACCCACTCATGAGCTATGGTCTAATTGCTCATTGCCTTAAGGGCTCATTTTGTGGCCTACTCACCTCCCCTTCTAGCCACACCCAAGCATCACAGATGTTACCAATCAATCAATTTATGCCCTACCCCCAGGCTCTGCCCTGTTCAGCCACGAGCTGACCACCTTCACCATCCACTGTAAAGCTGGCAAGTCAGTCAGCAACACTGAAGTCCTTGACTTCAGGAAAGCCGACTTTGACAAGCTCAGGAGGCTCGTCAGTAAGGCCCTAAGGGACCATGACCCCAGGAGGAGGGGAGTTCAGGAAGAGTGGTTGCTCCTCAAGGGAGCGATCCTCAATGCACAAGCTAATTCTATTCCATCTTGGAGGAAAGGTAGCAAGAGGGCACAGCAGCCCCCCTGGATCTCCAGGGATCTAGCAGACCTCCTGAGGCTAAAAAGAAAGGCCTACAAAGGATGAAGGATGGGATTCACCTCCAAGGAGGAATATTCTGCACTGGTCCAGTCCTGCAGGGACCGAACCAGGAAAGCCAAGGCTGCAACTGAACTCCAACTAGCTTCGAGCATCAAGGACAATAAAAAGTCCTTTTTCAGAAATGTGGGGAGCCAGAGGAAAAGCAAAGGCAACACTGGACCCCTGCTAAACCTGATGGGACAACTGACAACCAACACCCAGGAAAAAGCCAACTTGCTAAATGGATACTTTGCATCGGTCTTTCACCAGTCCCATGGGACGTCCCTGCCCCCTTTCGGGCCAGGGGG